CTCCTCAAAAACCCAGGCGGGAAGGCTTTACACAGCGGCGGTTGTGTCCGCCTCTTGGCACCCGACCAGCAACCCCCAAATTGTTTTGATTATATATTTGAGAGCCGACGCGAGGGAAAATTGCTGGGGAGCTTTGAGGCTCCAGGCTTAGCCGAAATCAGGCAGAAAAAAGCAGCTATTGGCCATGGCAGGTGCTCCAGCGAGCAGCAGGGATGGTGCGAGAGGGCATGCGTGCCCGACCGCCCCACAGGGAAATCGGGCATCCCTGTTCCAGGCTGTGCCTGAGCCAGGAGCATTTCTGCACGTGGGCTTGCACCAGCTCACCCCAGAAACTCAGCCCGGGCTTGCTTTTTGGGCCAAAGGCTTCTGCAAAAGCACAAGTTCCTGCCCAGGCTCCTTTCCCTGGGGTTAAATGCCTCCCGTGGAAACCCCTGGTGCATCTGGCCGGCTGGCGGTTGGACGGGCTGGACAAGCTCACGGCGCTGCTGAGGTTTTGGCAGCCCCGTAGCCTCTGCCCCAGCAAAGATGCTGTAGCACCAGTGAGGTCCCCAACAGACTCTTGTCTCTTTGCCTTTTGCAAAGCAGTGTCTTGGATACCTCGGCACAGCATGCCTCTCTGGTCCCCACGCCGTCCGATTTGCCCATTTTCCTACTGAGATGTATCCTACTAATTAGCCCAGCAACCCTTAATGAGCCAACTGAGCACCCTGCAGTTTTGGAAGTGATCGGAGGAACAGCCTGAGCACGGCGGCACCTCCTCGCTGCAGCCCGCGAGAGCTGGAGGTCCCTGTCCCCAGGTCCTTGTTGCCATTGCCGGGTCACTGTGGCTCCTGCCACGAAGGTGATGCTCTCCCGGGAGCCGCATGGCGCGGGACCTCCCGACCTCTCCTCCCGCACCGATTATTGGAGCTCTGCAGGGCAAAAAGCAACCCAGCTCCAGCCCCGGACTGGAGGGCAAGCAGAGTAACGATGGAGACACCGGGGGCCTTTCGGAAGTGAGCTCTGAGCACGGGGAAGCACCGGCTCCGGCTGATGCTGAAGATCATCTGAAGATGCTGCCGAAGAGCCACAGGAAGAAAACAAAAGCTTGGGTGAAGCAACGGGGAGGGCTCGGGAGCCCCTGGGGCATTCAAACACGGCTGGGGAAGGAAGAGGGGAAACTGCTGCAAACTCAACAACAAAACTTGCTGCAAACCCAGCAACAAACCTTGTCTTTTCTGGGAGAGGGAAACCTCCCCGTCCAGAGCTGCCGTTTCCCACCTGGGCAGAGCCCTGCAGCATCTCCGCACTATTTGCAAAGGCTCCAAGAAAGGTGACTGAAAAGCACATAGATGTGAACGTACGACCTAAACCACCAGCCGAGGGGGATGGAGGGATGGCAGGCGTCCTGTGGGGAAGCCCCAGCGTGGAGAAGACCGAGGGGAAGAGTCAGTCCCCATCCACACCCTGCAGATATCCCATCCCTGGCCATGTCAGCGCCCCGGCCCCCTCCACACCCACCCAGCCCCTCCCTTTCCCCAGGGGC